TCCCTCACCCTTAAAGACCTGGCGGCGATCTCTCCGTGAGAGTGTTGCGGAGCAGCTGATAGGGAGTATCCGGGAAGCTGCGGGCCCTTCGTTCAAGGAAACCGCGGAGAAAGTTAGTGCGCCCGTTGAGACGGTGCTAGCTGAAGTGCGGAGCGCGGAGTTCGGCGAGAACGAGAAGCCGGTGCATCGGGCGCTGGTATCTTGCCCCTTGGGGTATGTCGAGATGGAAATCAGGGGCCAGAAGGTTTGGGCGATGATCGACAGCGGCTCCATGATTAACATCATGCCCGCGGAGTTGGCTCGAGCGACAAACCTTGCGCGGCGGAAGACGAGTATGTCGATCCGTACCATGGGGGGATTCAGATGCGAGGTAGAAGGGGTGGTGGAGGCGGAGCCGGTGCTTGTGGCCAAGGTGGAAGAACGAATCTCGTTCTTGGTCACGAGGTCGAACGAGATTATACTCGGCCGCCCTTTCCTGTTTGCTTTTAGAACGGACCTGCGGTTCTGCCCCAGGCGGAGGGAGGAGATAATGGCGGTGCGAGACTCCGGAGGCAGGCAATTCGAAACCACTATCTGCCAACCACAGAGCGGAGAATGGTTGAACCACGTGGTGGACGAGGAGCGGCATGGCGAGTGGTGCCATGAGCCGCCACCGGAGGATTTTTAGATGTCGGCCGAGTCATCCGTACGGGGAGAGCTTTGACTCCGTATGGACGGTCGACAACTAAGAAGCGAGAGGGTATAGGTGTGGAGATGAGGCGAGGCGATGAGGGAGCAAAAGTAAGTCTTACGTTGTATGCATCTCCGGGGAATGAGTCGAAACACTACTTCAATGCCACTGTCGTGAGCAACGCGTGTGCAATAGGAGTAGCGGACGAGCGAGGGAGGGGAACCAGCGGGGTTGGCGGAGAAGAGGAGCGGAGGCCAAAAGGGTGCAAGTAAGTCCTCCATCGTGTGCATCTCCGATTGGTACTACTGTAAAACACTATCATAGTGCCACATTCGTGAGCAAAGGGGAAAGTCGTGGACTGTTGTTAGCTCGACGAGATGCAGGCGACGGGAATTCTCGACTCACTAGGGTGAACGGAGGGAAGTACAAACCGGTGGCAAAGAAGGTCCGGCCGCAGAATGAACCAATGCCGCAGGACCTCAATCCTCTGTTGCGGCCTATTGAGTGGGATCGGGATCCTTTCTCGACGCCGCTGTCGAGAGTTCCGCCGAGGTTTGCTCCCTCTGAGAAAATCACTACAGAGCGGATCGCGAGTTTGAACTTTGGGCCGGAAGGGTGGCTGAGCGAAGAGGAGTTCCATCTGTTGGCGGATGTGGTGAAGCTGCGGGAGAAGGTGCTGGCGTTTGGGCCGGAAGAGCGGGGCTTGTTGAAGCGGGAGATCGGACAGCCATATAAGATTCCGACGATACCGCATGAGCCCTGGCAGATCCGACCAATTCCAATTCCGGCGGCGATTCGTGGAGCCTTCATGGAGTTGATCAAGGAGTGAGTGCGGACCGGGTTGTACGAGCAGACCAATTCAAGTTACTCCAGTCCGATCTTCGCTGTACTGAAGCAAGACAAGACAAGCTTGAGGATTGTGCACGACTTGCAGCGTTTGAACTCGGTGACTATCAGAGACGCGGGGTTGCCGCCGAGGATTGAGGAGTTCGTGGATACCATGGCGGGGCAGACCTGTTACGGCTTGGTGGACGTCATGGGGGGCTACGACCAGCGGGAGCTCCATCCCTCTTCGAGACCAATGAACGCGTTCGACGCTAGTCTATTGGGAGGGATGCAGCTGACCCGTCTTCCGCAGGGAGCAACCAACTCTGTAGCAGTTTATCAGGCACAGATGGCTTGGATTCTGCGGGACGATTTACCAGAGGTGGTGCAAATCTTCATCGACGACGCGGGGATCAAGGGTCCGAAAGTCAATTACGGCGGAGAAGTCCTACCCGAGAATCCCGCAATACGGCGCTTCATCTGGGAGTACCCCGTGGCACTGGAGCGAGTCCTGTATCGGATTGAGTTTGCGGGCTTGACGGTGTCAGGGAAGAAGTTTGCGGTGTGCGTACCGGCTCTGGATGTTTTGGGCCATGAAGTGTCTTGTCGAGGGAGGTCGATTGCAGCCTCTAAGAGGAACAAGGTCTTGGAGTGGCCGACCCCTCAGACACCA